AGCATGCTTTTAGTTGGTAAATGGTCTTATACTTGTATAGCACTTTTCTATACATTGCAGCACCCCCAAAGCACTTCCACACTACTTGGCCATTCACCCATTCCCCTCCCAAATGCTCACACATTCAAACACTGGTGTCATCACCAGGAGCAACTGGGGGTTCAGTGTCTTACTCAAGGACACTTCAACATGTGGACTGGACAAGCTGGGAATCGAACTGCTAATCCTTTTAAAGGTGGTGGGTGGAAGAGGAACCGAATGCCTCAGGGGTACTGTACTACAGACAAACCAGCCCATCACTGCCAAGGAACCAGGAGCATGTCAAGAAGTACTATCCAAAATTATGTGACTGTAGAGATTTACAGAAGGGTGCATGGCACTGTAAAGCCCAGTGCAAGAACTATACAAAGGGCTCAACTCATAACTGTGACTGTGAAACATTTTTTGGAAAGCTTGGAAATATCCAAAAAGCAAACAAATAAAGATGCCTTAAAATCAGCCAGTCCATGATTCAGGGCAGGTTTCATTTACAGAGTGCTATATGTACAATATTTTTGAACCCTCACACAACCAACTGCGATCACACAACCGTCTTTGTAAAGTGAATGCTCTAAAGTTGTAAATAGTATGTATAGTAAATTAATTTGGAAATCGAAAACATTGCGACTGTAAAATTAGCAAAAAATGATGAAGTGGCTTTTTGAAGCGATTGTATCAATACATATGAAGTTCCTAACATTTGAGGGCTTGACATATTTAGACAACTACATGAACAAATATGATGATGTGAACAATGAAATAATTCTTAAATGTTTATGGAATACAACTGTTTAATTGTAAAGATAAGCAGATAACCTTAGCCAGCATTGGAAAATCCACAATTACTGCTTTGATCTTGGATCTGTTTAGCGATGGACGAAAAACACCCCCCAGGTGTCTTGAGGAAAACAACAAACCACTGGCAATACAGAACAAACTCACTCACTAGGAACCAATTACTATCCACAAAAGTTAAGCTTAGTTATTAGAAAAATTCAAGTTGGGTACAAAATGTAAAAAGAGCAGATAAAAATTTTTAAACACACTAAAGATTATATTCTAATACAAAGCATAAATATGCTCTTACACAGTTCAATAAGTACAAACACAGAACTACTCACACTAATATGTACAACCATCACAGCTTCCCAAAAGCAACAGTTATGACACTATTCATGATTCTAAAGCTAACAATTGCTTCTAACCTCATCTACACAGCTAAGCAGAGTTCTACTTTTTAAAATACATAAGATCTTAAGTGTTGTTTATGTGGTGGTGCAAAATAATTCACACCCCAATTTGACTTCAGTTTTCTGCCGTCCTTCATTCCTTTTCGGACATCCCATCAATATCACCACTACAGCACCTTTCCACTCTTCTTAATCATATTCCCATGGTGGCCATTTTTAAGTCTACCAGGTAAGGGCCCTCATATACTTTATATAAATTAATTGTCAGATCATCTAAAAGAATCTAAAACACACTTTGTGATGACAGAATCAGGAGGGAAATAGACAACTCTGCAATCACCCACTGTATGTGGTGACTGGCAGTGAATTGCAGCCACAAAAAAAAGAGAAAACCAGCAGGTTGTGACACTTTTTGTGTTTAGTTAAGGTTGGACAACACATCATTTATTTGTTTAGATCATATTAAGGTCTTAACACCACAAACATGAATCCATTTCTTTCTTATAGTGTAGACACATTAGTTCCAATCTATAGGATTTTAACTCTGGCACCCCTCATTGCTAGTGTCACAAAAGATACTGTGGCAGACAGTAACACTCATTAGTCAGGTGCATACGCATGTTGAGAGAGTGGAGCAATTTTTACCAGGCTTATCTGAGTTTTCTACAAACAATTTTTAAAGTTGCTCTAATCACATAAAGGCATTTTTATTGCCGGGATATTTAACAAGATATGTCTGTCTCACTGTTACACTTTATGTAATGGTAATAAACTGGGCAAACCTTTCATAATATCATAGATTTTCAACCAGAAATATTTCAGAATGGTTTTAATGATGAATTATGCTTTTGTACAGTTTTAAAAGAGTAATCAGGTAGAGTTTTTGACCATAGTACTATGGTCCAGTAAAAGTGCCAACATTCAGTGTACTGGGGAAATGCAAGAGTCTATCTATGTCGAAGCAGGACTGATTTGGTCATGAAGACTAACAGTGGTAAATGAAAGGCTGGCTACCGTCTTGCCAAGCTAGGATAGTCATTTGACAAGCCTTGTAACTCACACCCGCTACCCCAGCAATCCAATGGCTAGATACTGTATGTTACTGACTTGGCTGGTAATTAAGATTCCTTGGCATGACTCACATTCCTACCTCGGTGGCCCAGTGGATATGTAAGCTACTCAGCTATCCATTAGCATTAAAAAATGAACAGATAAATGGATTTGCAAATGTTATATGAGCAAGGAAATGCATTCATCATGACTGTTAGGCCTCATATAATACGTTTTGAAAAAGAAAAAACTAGGTGTAACTTTCATAAAAAGTTCATTTTTGTTTGTTTTTAATCAGCTTCTACCTGGAGCTTCCAAAAATGCTTATTCTGATCACTACCCTGTTTCATTATCTACGCTGTTTCACTCAGGTTGTCCTAGTACTCTTTCTCTATAGAATTTTTCACAATGATAAAAATAATGGTCACCATGGGAAAAAATTTATTCAGAGTGCTTTTGTACACACTGGCACCTCAATGCTAACTCAATAAAACATAGCACAAAGAATTTCATATAGTATGTAGCAGCTGTATCTTCAGTTCAATTCAATTATTTACCTTCACCACTTCAAAAAACCAGACTTCTCCAGACTTTCTTCATTAGGCATCGTCATTAAAGGCTCATTAAATGTCATTATTAACCCATCTACACTACACAAGGTCAAAGGTTGTAAGTCAACAAAAAAGTGTAGGTCACTATATTTTCCCACTGCAAACAATCCTGAATCTGAATAAGGCAACCTTGTATAGTAAGACAGACAACTCAGAAGAATAAAAATGAAGCATCATGAAGCAGCTAATGATGTAATTGTCCCATGATGCAAACAGTGGTTACCTGCTGTAAGTCCAGTTCTATGAAAATGTACTTCGCCTACTTAACGGACTGTATTACTCAAACCCTTTCAAAAGCAATACATTTCCCAAGTGGTGCCGAATGTAAACATCTGTTGGGAAACTAATCTAAGATAGAATTATATTGTCAGTCAGTATTATTATTTCCTGATGTAACTTCAGTTCTATGAGTCAATATCTTGGCTTAATGCGTTTAACATGTTACTTCCTGTGTAAAGTAGCAGTAACTGGCTACCGGTTATTACTACATTATCTGCTAATTGGCCATTTATATATTTTATCATATTTCAAAAGAGATTACATGATCAGTTGCTACAAGGCTTTTAAAAGATATCTGGGGGCTATTATTAAACATTACTCATTCACTTCCTACACGTGTGAAGACCAAAAGCAGACTTCCAAGTCATGGGTTTTTTTTAAATGTTTTTCCTGTTTACAGCTTATTTGATTACCATCATTATGCATCGAAAAAAGTAAAATTTATGATTTGTCACAAATAATCAGTTATGTATCAGAATGAGGAAACAGAGCCATTGTTATAACATTATGATATGTTTGCCCAGTCCCTACATCAGTCCCAAAATTCAATCTGTAAACCAACTGGTCCACAGTACAGTTCACTGTACAGTGACTGGCACTCTGTGAACTCAGAGGAGCTTGACACATGCCCAGGTCTTTTCTCCAATTTAAACTACATTTTGTGATTTTTTTTTCCATTAGTCTAAATTCAGTGTCTGAAGCTCTGAAAAAAACACTATAAATGAAGCCCTAACTCATAATGAAGGAATCACATGCTTAAGTAAACAGTCAGTGGTTTTCAAAGAATAAACAATACATTAATATTTTCCATTACATTTGGCAAGGTTCAATGCACTGATGGCCATGTTTATAGCAGTTTATAGTTCACATTCAGTGCAGATGGTCTGCAAAGCCACACTACTGCAGCACAGAGCTACAGAATCAGCTACATACTAACACTGATCAGCCACAACATTATGACCACCTGCCTCATACTGTGTACACTCGTGTCACTGAGGCTTACAGCACATCTTGAATGAATCTGGTTGCTTCTATAGCTCTACTGCCAGGAAGAGCACATATTTGTCGACCATTCAGTGATAAAAATATGCTAAAGAAGTGAAAATTGACTTTCTATGCTTGCCTGTTTTTCTTGCTTCCAACACATCAACTTTGATGACTGAATGTTCACTTGCTATCTAAAATACCCCACACACTGACAGATGCCACTGTAACGAGATAATCAAAGTTATTCACTTCATCCGTCGGGTGGTCATAATGTTATGGCTGATTGGTGTATATTGTCTATCCCAGGGGTGGGCAATTTCAGGCCTGAGGTGCCGCTGCCCTGTTTGTTTTCCAGCAGTCCCTGCCCTACCCACTGCTGATTACCTGGATCACATGTGTTCAGTCAATCAGAAGCTGGATGATATCAATTCACTTTGTCTTTCCTCACGCCACCTTCATCTTTCAGCTTCTGACTGACTCAGCACACCTGATCCAGGTAATTAGCAGTCGGTAGGGAAGGGATAGGTGGAAAACAAGCAGGGCAGTAGCACTTGAGGACAGGAATTGCCCACCCCTGGTCCATCTTGTATTGAGGCTGATACTTTATGTGTGTGTGTGTGTGCCTTTGTATCTCTTACATTTTGGGGACCAAAACCTGTTAACACACTTACATTGTGGAGACTCAGCCATCCTTGTGAGGACCTAAGGCTAGTCCCCACAAGGAAATCACTAAATTTTAGGGTGTCAACATGGTTTAAGGTTAGAGCGAGGTTAGGTGTTAGGGTCAGGGTTAGGTGTTAGGCAAGTAGTGGTTATGGTTAAGGTTAGGATAAGTCTACAGGAAATGAATGTAAGTCAATGTAAAGTTCCCACAAGGAATGAAAACAGTGTGTGTGTGTGTGTGTGTGTGCTGGAGGGACTAGGTGGGGGTGCTTGGTAAAGAGTACAGGTAGGTGGGTGACCACTGTGTATTACACAGCGTTCTCTTCAGTAGGAGGCTCAGCATGGGGTGGTTCCAGGAGAGTCTGTTGGACTGCAGAGACATAATACACAAACAGGAATAATCAAATTCATCTACTTCAGAATAACAAGAGATGTTCGACTGAATCGGTAGGTAATATGAGGAAGTGTTTTGTTTTTTTTTCCTTTCATAATAGAACACACAGTCAATCAACATTTCAATAGATTAGTCAGTGTTTGCCAGAGATCTGATTTTCAGCTGCAGTCCTTTGACAACATGTTATATAACTAAAGAAGTGACGGTTTGAGATATACAGACAGAGAAAGTAGGGTTCCAGAGTAACAACAAAATCAGCAAAATCAATTTAAAATGAGTGAATATTTGCAAAAAACAACAAAGTTTATCAGTTTGAACATTAAATATCTTGTTTTTGTGGTGTATTCAATTAAATATGGGTCAAAAAGGATTTGCAAGTCAATGTATTCAGTTTTTATTTACATTTTATACAATGTCCCAGCTTCATTGGAATTGGGGTTTGTATTTCAGACATAGTTAAATGCCGTGTCTGTATATTTCCTGTGTTTTCTATGAAAATATATTGCTGTATATTTGTTATATTTGGACTATGGGAATAGATGAGATTGGAACTTAATATCTAGCAGATGTGAGCAGAGTGCGGTAGCAGTGTGTTTACCTTGTGGTTCTGCAGCCACCACACCTTCGGGGTTCTCAGCCTTAACCATGTCAGTATTCAGGCTTTCTGTTAAAGGACAAGAGGACATTATTACAATTGTATTAATATACAGCATGCTATAATAACAGTGTGCTATCGCTGCCACCATTACTATTGTTACTAACTGCAACAGTAACTACTATCACTAATGTAGTACTGCAACTGATGCCACCATCGCATTTTTGTTCTGAAGCTAACTAACATTACACTGAATGTGCACCTGACCCAGTGTGACCTGCATGATCTGGTTATGTTGTGATGCAATTAGCCTAACTGCCTGTTTTTATTGTATTTATCATTCTAATTTTAGTCTAATGTGCTGCTGGAAAAGGTTAGTTGTACCAAAAGTATTAGACCTTGGACATTGTATGTATATATTATTCATATATAAATAAGGTGCCAGGTCTATCAAAATAGGTGCCGGTCACAATTTGAGAAGTGCCGCATCCGGCTTGTTCTGACATAAATGAACCCCTGGTTAGGAATGCATGTCTGAAAGGGTCTGTAGTTGTGTGTCCCAAGGGACATTGTCATCAACTCTACAATATGACTGTAATGTAAAAACCTTACGTTGTACACTGAAGCACAGCTTCTTCTTCTGGTAGGAGATGTAGCTAGTGACTGCACCCACCAGCGCCATAGCAACTGCACTAACAATTCCTGCAATGGTGCCCACCTCTGCTGTGGTCCCTGGAAACACACAAACACAGATATGCGTTATGCTCAAGTAGCCAAACAGATATACATTTATGAATAAATAGAAAAAAAATCTCACCAGTATTGTTATCATCATGTTGGCTGACCTGATCATGGTCACCACTTGGATATCCACCTATACAAACAAAATAGCAGTCAATTTTCACATTTGTTTTAACTGTTAAATGTATCTATAAAAGCTGAGACATTACCTTTGCCTTTGTCAGGTTTGTAGGTATCGTCTTTACTCACATCAATCAGATCGGTGTCAGAAAATCCACCTGAAAGAGGAGACAGAGATGACAATGCACCGAGAATGAAGAATAAAATCACTAAATGTCAAAAGGGTAACAAGAAACTCAAAATGACAATTCATAGTAAATCACCCCTTGTTGTGATACATTTTTTTGTTGAACTGAAGGTGGTGAAACTACTGTTGTGCTTTCACTTATCTGGCTCAAACACAAAGTGTGTATAAGATCAACTGAAATGCTCAAATCCATTCCATCCACCTGGACTTCGATGAGAAAAGTCTAAATAAACCGGTGATTTTTAATTATGACAGCTTTCAACATTATGACTTCATAAAATAGTGGAAGTAGACAACTTTCCAAGGGAGAATAAATAAGCTGGTAGTGCAAACAAATCTTTTAAGTGAACAGCTCCGTAAGTGAACAACTTTTACCATCACTACCCCACTAAAGCCAAGTAACTGCAGCATGAGATGCAATAGTTCCCTGCGCTCCCTCGCAGTTTCTTCAGGAACTATTGCATTATTATTTCTCTACTTTAAAGTAATGTTTTGAAAGAGTGACAGCCCTAATAATGCAAATTATGTAAATAATGTAACCGTATTTTTTCCAGATTTGTTTCTCTAACATGCAATTGTGAGAAATGAGTAATTTACTATAATTTATTTCAAAAACTAATCATGACATTATTCTGATACCATATATTTTTGGAGGATAAAATTTTAAAATTCTACCCATTTTGGCTTTAATTCCACCATCCCACATGAATTCCTTATTTAATCATTGGACCACCTACCTCCCTGCCCCTTGTTCTTATCCTTGCCACCAATATCATTGTTGGCGTCTAAGGCATCACTGAGGTCAAGGTCAGCACCAGCTGTAAAGGTGAAAGAGCAAAGCTATTGCAAAATAAAGTGACTTGTACAGTATCTCGACCAGCCTAAAAAAAAGATCAGCGTCGCTTACTTTGAAGCGATGTGGTTGTTCAGATTTGACTTAAGCTACAGTATTTTATTGTACTGACTATGCAGACATACATAAAAATCAACAGCCAATATTATTAAATTGTTTATGTGAACTAACAAACTACTTGGTCAGTAAAGAACTGCAGCCTGTTGCTACAGACTAGTTGATCATAAATGTGAGGCTAAATTTGAATGTGAAGCCAACACCAATTGCAACATTGTAAGTAGTTAGTCTGACAATAAATGCCCCACATTATCCTAATTTACACTGCAACTTAACATCAGGACTGCGTTCTCTCACCTGGCTTTGGTTTAGGCTTGGCTGGGGCCTTGGTGCCTTTAGGGACCTTGAATGGGGCCTTGGTGGTGGTGATAGTGCTGTCAAAAAAATCCCCCAGGTTAAGACCTACAGAGAACAATGGCATCATTATATTTGAGTACACTGATATAACTTTATAAGTAAACATCTAAATGCAATGTAAAATGTTATATACAGTTTTCCCTAACTTCTAAAACCTGTTACAGTCAGGGTAGAAAATCCAAGAGTATGCTGCAGATGAAAACATATTCAGAAAGTTTAATCTAAACCATTAATAAGTAGATATAGGTTATTTCCACACTACAGGGCTGAAAACCAGCAGGATGCTGTAAAGACAACACCAGCTTTCTGATACAGTTCTGTGTCTAGTTTTGGTTGACAGCGAAAGATCCATTCATTAGCTACAGTGGTGTGAAAAAGTGTTTGCCCCCTTACTGATTTCTTATCTTTTTGCATGTTTGTCACACTGTAATGTTTCAGATCGTCAAACAAATTTATATATTAGTCAAAGATAACACAAGTAAACACATCATGCAGTTTTTAAATGAAGGTTTTTATTATTAAGGGAAAACAAAATCCAAAACTACAAAGCCCTGTGTGAACAAGTGTTTGCCCCCTAAACCTAATAACTGGTTGGGCCACCCTTAGCAGCAACAACTGCAATCAAGCGTTTTCGATAACTTGCCATGAGTCTTCCACAGCGCTGTGGAGGAATTTTGGCCCACTCATCTTGGCAGAATGGTTGTAAGTCAGCC